AATTAAGATGATTGCTGTATACATTCCTGATTCTTTCTATATTGCACTAACCATGGTCTAGAATTACTCGACTGTTATAATCTTAATTTTCAGCACTAAGTGCTTCACAGTAAAAGTGAGAATTACAGAGTTCTAAACTTTGAATATATTCCAAGTGATAATTTATGTGGAAATTAACTTTATAAATAAGCAAGTGTCTAACAGTCCCAGGATTGTAAAATACTTACTTGTTCACAGAATGTCATCGGTAGAAGTATCTAGAGGAAGATGACCAGAATGAAGGGACCATAGGGTCATAGGAGCATAGATTTAGAGCTGGAAGGGACTTTGGAGGTCATAAATTCCCCAGATGAGGAAACTGAAACTCAGAAAGATTAAATGACTTGTGTGGGATGAGCATAGCTAGTAAGACTCTGAGGAAGCATTCTTGACTCTGTATCCAGTGGTCCATATCCTATGAATATGACTTTATTAAACTGAAGATATTGAGCCTGGAGAAAACAAGTAGAGATGATGAGGTAGGGCACAAAGTAGCTTATATTTGAAATACTTGAAAGACTGTCACGTGGAAGAGGGATTTAATTTGTTCTGTTTGGCCCTAGAGGACAAAGCCATTCGATAGAAGTTACAAAGAGACAAATTTAAGTTTGACGCAAGGAAGAGCTTCCTAAAAATTAGAGATGTTCAAAAGTGGAATGGAATGCTCAAGAGGTAATGTATTCCCCCTCCTCGAGGTCTTTCAACAGAGGCTGAGTGGTTCCTTGTTGGATATATTATGCTAGGGATTCTTTTCTAATATGTGTTGGATCGAATGAACAATGTGGTCCCTTCCAATTCTTAAATTTGGTGATTGCTCAACCCATACCAAAACAAGAATCTCTACAACAGATCTCACATCAGTTATTCTTTGGCCTGTTCTGGTCAAGACTGTAGCAAGAAGAACAACTGATCTAATGAGGGATAGGAGCAGAGAACAGACCCAAGATTTCATTAGTATTAGGAAATCTCTGTAGTCTTCTTTAATTTCCCATTGACCTATAGTGCTTAATATGGCTGACCTGACAAATCTCTAAAAAAAAAAAAAAGATGGAAGATAAAAATCAAGAAATTTGTATCCACAGAATCCTGTGCATGGAATCTGTGTTGGAAAAAACCCAATGGGCCATCTAGTACAACTCATACCTGACAGAGACGTCCATCTATAATATTGCCGACGAGTGGTCATTGGGCTTCTACTTGAAAATGTCCAGTAATAGAGATCCCACTACCTCCCGAAGTGGTCTGTAGCACTTTTTGCCAGCTTTGTTTGAAAAGTTTTCCTCCCGGGGAGCTGATATCTTCCTTGCTGCAACTTTCACCTACTCTTCTTGAATTTTCCAGTATTGAGCCAAGCAGAAGAAATCTAGTCCCTTTTCCATATAACTGATCTTCTCCAAACTAAACATTTACAGTTTCCTCAATTGATCTGTGTATGGCATCATCTTCAGTCCTTCCACCATAATAGTCATTCTCCTCTGGAATGTTCTCTAGATTGTTAGTATCTTCCCAAAATGACTAGAACTAAATGCAGTAGTCTAGATGTGATATGAGTAGGGCAGAGTGCCATGCAACTATCATCTCTTTCAATATGGATGCTATGCTTCTCAACCATCCAGATTCACTTTGTTCATGGTCTAATTTTGGAGAGCCCTTCAACTGTCCTCTACAACTGTCCTCAGTTGTAGTTTGCTTTTTTCACTATCCAAGCTTTGCATGCCCTAACTTTTCCTTTCTATCAAAATCCTAGACATCCTCCAAGGTTCAGTTTAGGTCCCCAGTCCTCCAGGAAGTATCCTCCAAAGTATATTCCCACTCATGGAGTGCCTCACCCCATACAGTGTTACCATGTACTTTCACATATTACTCTCTAATTGTTTCATGTGTATTAATCTTGTCTTCCTCAGTGTAAGCTCCCTTAAAGGCAAAGATCATGCCTTGTGCCTCTTGTATATCCCATTGTACATAGTACATAGTACACAGCAGAGGGCTGCACATTTTGATGCTCAAACCACCATACTGTTGATTGACTGATAATAAATATTGTAGGGAATGCCAAGAATATCATCTCATCCCTAAAGAAAAATATTTAAGCATATGGAAAGACATCTTTGAAGCCCATGAAAATGGTAGAGAGACATAACTCACTAGTATAAACTTAAGTTCCACAAGTTTATTGAAGCAATAAATATTGGCTCATACCCTGAAGAAGTAGGTTCAATATTAGCTCAAACGTTTGTTTAAAATAATATAAAAATATGCAGTTGCATCAGTCTTAAAATCATAGGATCATAAAGTTGGAGCTGGAAACAATCTATCTAATCTAACCCCCTCATTTTAGAGATAGGAAACTGAGATCAGCATTGTAGAATGACTTACATAATGATATTACACAGGTAGTTCTGGAAAGTGAATGATTTGGAAATGGAAATGGAAAGAAAGGGATGAATAGAGGAAGGGAGGAAGGAAGGAAGGAAGGAAAGGAAAGGAGGGAAGGAAGGAAAAGAAATAACTAAAAGGTACCACATATGCCATATTGCAGCCTAAAAGTAAAATTATCTCAGGTTATATAGACCTAGAGAATACGTTAGTGGGGCTGACATGTACTTTGGCTATAGCGATACAGACCAAATCCATCTATGTGGCTATGACAAAATGAGGTCTGTTCAAAAGAGTTTATCTGTCATGGCATAAGGAATGGGAAATAGACTCATCTTAATAGATTCATGCTAACTAGCCATAATGAATGAGTTTTTCAGCATTTTCAATATTGGTTGTGCTTTGATACTTCTGCTATCCAAAATTCTCATTTTTAGCTAAAAAAGAAAAACAAGGATAAAACTCTAAAGCTCAGACTATATTTTCCCTCTTTGCTCTAATCTTAAAAGCACATAAAAAGAAAGTGCTAATTTGTAAGGCAGTGTGTTCACTCACACTGATTTTTTGTGCTTGGATGGAAAACTTAATGCTGATAAATGTAGATGAACTGGAATTAATGAGATACAGACCATGTTCTAGCAAATTTTATTGTAATTATGCCATTGAATATCCAGCCATGCTTAATAAGGAGGTCACTCTGGGTTAAAATCCCATCCCTGAAATTTACTAGCCATATGACCCTGAGTAAATCTATTTGCCTCAGACATAGACCTAGTACTTATTTACTAAGTCATAGAAGGTTTATGATCTGCGTATTTAGGTATTGATGGCGGCAGTTGGCCAGCAGTTGTTGATGAAGATAATAAGGAAGGTAGGCCCCTTTTCCACAATGAGTTTTCCTCTCAATGATGATTGAGAGGGCCAGGTTGGAAGTAGGTCCAGTGAATGAAGGCAGGGGGTGAGGCAAGGCTCTTAGGTTAGGGTCCTGAGCCAGGTCTATATTAGGGTATGAAGAGAGGTGGTCATCAAGGTGGTGGTGGTGGTATTACTCTTCTGGCACATGGTGCCTCCTATCTCTCCCTTAGGGTGCCTTGTTGCTTCAGCTAGACTAGCTGGCCTTCCTTGAGGGTGGCAGCTGATTGGCAGGTGGTGGGGGTAGTTATCCCTTTGTCCACAGGGGTTGTCACATTGCATGATGGCTGAGAAGACTGAACTAGAAGCAGGACTGATGCCCCTACTGATTCATTCATTCAAAAATCTTTTAAAAGCTCATACTGTGTCCATAGCAAGGAGTTATCTCATGAGACTAGCTTCTTCTCCCTTGAAGTCTCTCTAACTTTCTCTATGGAAATGAACCTTACCTGATCTGTTAACCTTCCTCACTATTGGCAATGCATACCAGCAATTAACACACTCTAATTCCTTGGTTTTTGAGCTTCTGACAGGAGAGCATTTCTAAGGTGACTTCAAACTCCAGAAATGGCCGAAAAGGCTAGGTCCTAGAGGTCATCAGTTTGGCGATTTCTTTTTGATTTAGGCATTGGAATTTATGGGAAAGGGAAGCCAGAAGAGATTCTGTCTTACTTGCCATTAGGGAGGAAGGAAAAAGGAAGGAAGATAGGGTCAAGCAGGTGCATCTGACCTTTGAGTGCCAGGTCCCTTATGCCCTTCATCCAGAACTCTGGTGGGCTGAGACTTCTAAATGATAGTCCTTAAAACTGTGGAACACTTGCTACTTCTTTCTGTGAGAGCTCAGGCACAGGGGAGGAGTGTCCTGTTTAAATTTTCCACAGAAAAGAGAAATGTACTATAATTATATCCTCCAGGCAAATATACGTTTCCTATAAATAGGAAAGTATATAAACATATACCATAATTTATATACCTCTTGACCTAACATAAATAAGCCTTCAAGTTAAATGAGAGCCTGGCCAGGGTAAGTCTCAATAGGACAGCATCCTGAGTCTCCAAATGGGGTGATAATGAGAAATCTTGGGACTATCCTTCCTGTGAGCCCTTCTACTGCATCACTCCCACAATTACCCCACATATACCTACATAATTATTATAAGTACTAAAGTCTTTTAGGGGTGTTTTTCCCTATTAAGTCAATTTAACTTGCCAGTCATAATCTTGATAACAGTTACTTTGCTTGAATCCAATTAGTGAGTCCATATTTAAAAATATTTTCCAACTGAGTAGTCAAAAGGACCCAAGGAAACCCTGTCTCCATTATCTGAGTTCAGATTTAGCCAAAGTAGGGCACAAAAATAGGTGACCTTAGTAAATAATGTTTCCTTTCGTAATTCCTACACAAGAGTTTCCAGTTGGCAATAAAATGACAAATGGTTTCTTGTTTTTCTTATGTTGGATTGCACCTGACAGTAACTATTATTGCCAGCTTTTCTGTAAGTCTCAGCAGAGATCTCTTTGGATGTGAAGTTACTTCAAACTTAAGGGAGTCAAATGTTGATTGCTATTCTGTTTATTCTGTACACTCTAAGGATTTCTCTGTGAAGATTATGTTATTTCCATCATTTACCTGGACCTCTTTGTGCTCTCCCATTTCCTCTTTTTTTTTCTAGGAATTGTTTCCATCATGACCCTCACTGTCCTTGCCTACGAACGCTATAATCGAATTGTCCATGCCAAAGTGATTAATTTTTCCTGGGCCTGGAGGGCTATAACCTACATCTGGCTTTACTCATTGGTATGGACTGGAGCTCCTCTCCTAGGCTGGAACAGATACACTCTGGAAATCCATGGACTAGGCTGCTCAGTGGACTGGAAATCCAAAGATCCCAATGATTCCTCCTTTGTGCTTTTCTTGTTCCTTGGCTGCTTGGTGTTACCTGTTGGTGTCATGGCCTATTGCTATGGCCACATTCTGTATGCCATCCGAATGGTGAGTTGCAACTTCTAAACTCCCAAACCCAACATTACCAAATTTTCTGTGAAATAGTATCCATTGTAATGGTACATAATTACTAGTTGTAAAATCCTATGTATGAGAAATCTAGGGAATTGTCTATTAGAAGGAATCTTATTCTAAAGTCACATACTATCATGTTTTTCAAGGTGTGACTCACTTATGGGCCTAGAATATGAGAGAGAGAGAGAGAGAGAGAGAGAGAGAGAGAGAGAGAGAGAGAG